AGATGGTTCATTTGTCATCAAAGAGTTCACTATGCAAGAAATTGCCCTCAAAACAAAAAAGAGATCATATATATGTATATACACATATATATACACATATATACATATATATGCACATATATGTACATATATATAAATATAAATATACACGTGCGCGTATATATATTTAATAAATCCAATTGCTCGTTTCTCAAAATCATCAATTCTTTGAGGCAATTAGATATGATTTGTTGATGCTGCAGGTGGTGATATGTTTCAAAGAAAGCTTGCCAAGATTGATGCTAGTATTGTAGAAACTAGAAAGAAAAATTAGTTTCTTAGAAAGCCTAAGTTGATGAATGTCTCAACCGGTTTGAATTAGTTTACTTGTCGAAACCGAAATTTAAAATCTGAGCTAGTTTATTATACCAAAACCAGAATGATGCTAGTTGTTGAAACCAGAAATTTTGTTTTAATTTATACAAATACTTTGTCTCTTGATTGGCACTCTTATGTTGTGAAGTTGTGGTACTTGATTGGTAAAAAGTTACTGAAATGTTGGACTCTCGTAGCGATAAAATTTAGTAGGCTATTTTAACTAAATTGAAAAACTGGAATATAACTTTTCAAATATTTGTAATGGACTCTACTAAAGAAACTCCATCTCTAATACCAAGTACGACACCAAGTACGTCAATTTCGGAAAATCAATCTCTAACATGGGGCAAGACAGATTTTGTATGGTCTCATTGTAGAAAAGATTTTATGTCCGACAAGAAAGTTAAGTGCTTGATATGTCTTCACTATGGAAAAAAGATTCGACGTGGTGGTATCAATCGATTCAAGTAACACCTTGTAGGCGTAAAAGGGGAGACAACACCTTGTTCGAAGGTTGTGGTGCAGATTAGATTTGAAATGCAAGAAAACTTGAAAGCTGTGGAAGGTAAAGTAAAAAGCTTGCAAGAATGCTTAAGGGGAAGTGATTTATATGGTCAAAATCTAAGACAACATGAAGAGCAAGTATACATGCAAGATGAAGATGATATTTAAGAGATTCAACCACCTCTCATTGTTGAAACTTTAAAGAAGAAAAAAAATTGTTCAACAGCATGAAAAAGGAAAACCAATAGGAACTTTTTTTATGCCAAGAACTACTCTAGAAGGTCAACCATCCATCAAAAGCGTGATACAAGGCAAAGAATCCAAAAAAAAAGCTTGATCTTGATAGTTGCGAAGTGGATAATTAATGCTTGCATCCCATTCAATGCAGTAAACTCTACATATTACCAGACAATATTTGATACTGCTTGTTCTTTTGGAGTAGGTTACAGAGCTCCTAATTTTTATGTCTTGGGTGACTATTTATTGACAAAAAATGTTGAGCAAGTTAAGAAGTTTGTTAATAGCTTTTGCACAACTTGGAAAGAAGTTGGATGCATTATCATGCATTTTTTAAATCAGTTCATTACTGCAAATCAGTTGATGCCGCAGATGCTTCAAAAACTGCAAAGATGCTACATAAGCTGTTTAGAGAAGTGGTTTTATCTGTGGGGGTGGAAAGTGTGGTACGTTTTATCATTGACAATGTTGCCAATTATTGGTTTCCATGTGCTACCCATTGCCTAAATTTGATGTTGCATGATATAGGCAAGTTAGTTGCATGATATAGGTAAGTTAGATGAGGTGAGTAAAGTGGTTGGACATGCTTCTAAGATAACAAAATACATATGTAATCATTGTTGTCCACTACATTTGATGAGAAAACACACTGGGGGAAAAAAATTATTCAACCTGCTCCTACAGATTCTATGTTCTGAAAAGAATATGCTACAATAGTTTAATTAATCGAGCCACTTGTACAAGTTCTATTGTTAATAGTGATGAAAACCTGCTATAGTGTACTTGTATGCTCCCATGCATAAGTTAGACAAGATTCTCAAGAAGAAATAAAATAGTCGATCCTTACTTGAGAATAATTGATTCAAGATGGGATAGTCAGTTTCACAAAAAATTTCATTCTGCTGGTTTTTAACTCAATCCTTCTTATCAATATAATTCGATTGAAATGGAAAAGCATAGGCACATGACATTAGGACTTTTTGATGCGATTGTTAGATACTCTTATGAAAATCATGGTCTAATGAGTAATCTGACAAGAGAGATGAAATTATTTCGTAAAATTGAAGGTGATTTCAGTAGAGTATCTGCCATGCGAGATCATGGTGTCATGCTTCCAAGTACACAGAAATTAACTTCATTTTTATTGATGATTTGATTTTAATTGTATAATACTATGATCTGATTTTTTATTTATCAACATAAGTAGATAAAGAGCCGAAGGGTTTCGTCGTTCCGCGCATGATTTCGTCGTCCTCACGTGACCCCCTCATCCTCTCCGCGCATTGCGCGGGATCCTCTTCCTTTTCCATTTTTAACCCTATAAGCCAGCGCCGCTCCTCCTCACCTCTGCCTGTTCCTTTTTTTTTTTTTTTTTCTAATTTCTAACCCTAAGAGTATCGTATCTTATCTCCCGCCGCTCTTCCTCCTGCTCTCCCTTCTTTCCCCTTTGCTCTCCCTTGCCCTATCCGTATACCTCCATTACTCCCTTTCCTCCTTCCCTTTACTCTACAACATTATTCCCATTTGCAGAAACAGCGCCGCCCCTCCTCTCCTCTGACTTTTTTTTTTTTTTTTTAAATTTCTGGACCTAATTTCTGCTTAGCCTCCATCATTTTCATTAGCAATAGGTTAATTTCTGCTTTCTTCTGCCAACTCCATTCAGCTACTCCCTTTCCTCTTTCCCTTTACTCTACAGCATCATTCCCATTTGCAGAGACAGCGCCGCCCCTCCTCTCCTCTGCCTTTCCTTTTTTTTTAAAAAAAATTTCTGGACCTAATTTCTGCTTAGTCTCCATCATTTTCATTAGCAATAGGTTAATTTCAGCTTTCTTCTGCCAACTCCATTCAGTTGAACCCGTTTTCTTTTTAAAGCTTGGTGATTTTCCTCTTTTCCTTTGATTTTGCTTTTCTCGTTGGCTTGTGAAGGCCACCAAATTTCTCATTTTCTCTTAAATGTGGTCTCAAACAAGCTTTTCTATTCCAAACGTGGGCTCAAACGTGCTGCACTGTTTCGGTACATTTGGTTCTTGCAAGGAAACAAATAAAGCACATGTGCCATGAGGTAAGAACCAAGAATATTTCAATTTTTGTTTGAATTAGAGTAAATTGATTTTTTGATTTGATTAATCCTGTCTAGGTTTTAAATGTATAGGGTTTGGCAATGTTTAAGAATCCATGGCCAGGATAGTGCTGAGATTCATGGGTGTTATGTAATCAGTTGAGCCCGTCAGGATTTGTTGCAAGAGATCGTCTTGGAGAGGCAAGTGCTTGTTTATTTTGATGGTATATTGTGGATTGTAGCTTGAAATAATACTGTACAAATAGTTCTTTAATTCAACTATTTCTTGATGCTATGCAGATTCGATGTTCGGATGCTATTCATTGACTTTTCGAAGGGTTTCCTAAGGTTCATGTTTTTCGTTTTTGCATTTCCTGGTCGCAATATGGCGACAATGGTGTTGGGAACTTGGTCTAATTTACTGGTTTTTAATAGCTTGCCTGTTGCATTTGGTGGTTTGGTGTTTTTTTTGTTGGTTTCCTCCTCTTTCTCATTTTTTGCATCAAATGAGATGCATATTTCAAATTTTGAGATATTGGTTTACTCGTTGTGTGAGGAAATAATTAGGTTGAATGATTAGTTGCATTATCAATGAAATAATTTGGAATTGTATGTGGATAAGTATCAGTTGAGTTGAAGGTTAGTAATTATGTGACCAATAATATTTCCAGTTCAATGTTCCACTAATCTACCGCTTTCAGCAGTTTTCTTCCTCAAACTTCCTCTATCTTTTCTCCCATTCCTACCTCTCTCATTCTCCTACTTCTGCTTTCTCTCCTCCCTCTCTCGTTGTATCAAAAGATTTTGCTATGTTTCTATCTGTCTCATTTTCTTCCCCTCTTAGATTTGAGTTCTGTTTTGTTAGATTTGCTTTTGATGATTATAAAGGTTTCCTTCTCTTGTGCCTTTTAGATGGTTACATGAATTTTGATTATTGTTTGTATTTTTGTTATCACATCATTCTGGGATGCTTAGCTTCCCTTTTTTTCTTTTTATTTTATATTTTTTCTTTGTAGTCCATGATTTTTCTTTTTCCTCTCAAATTTTCAACCAAGCATATATGGCCAAAGAAAGCAACTGGAGAAGTTGTTGCTTTAAAGAAGATACGCATGGACAATGAAAAAGAAGGGTTATTGTTATTCTACCCAATTTCTTATTTTCTTAGCTTATGACATTTTAATTTCCTTAGTGGATAAATGGTTATGCCTGCTCTTTTTAGAACACTCATAATTTTTTCTTGTAGTTTCCTGTAACTGCCATGCATGAAATAAAAATTCTAAGGAAGTTGTAGCATGAAAATGTCATTAAACTGAAAGAGATTGTGGCCTCTCCTGGTACTCATCCTTCTCCATATGTTCAGAGTGGTTATTTAATTCATAAACATCAAACATATACTATATGTTTTGTTGTCTTACATATAATAAACTCTTTTTCAGATCATGAGGTTGATAAGCAAGTGAATCAAGGTAACTAGACGTGCAGAAATTTTCAAGTTTGTGGTTCCTGTTTCTGTAAGAATTCAATGCCCCTGAACTCCCAAATATTGAGATCGAAAATGATATTTTGTTTTTGAAATGCAGAAGGTAATAGATACAAAGGCAGTATTTACATGATTTTTGGGTATATGGACCACAGCTTGACGGGACTTGCTGATTGTCCTGGATTGAGATTTACAATTCAACATATCAATGTATGTGACCTTGGACAAGGAGGATTTACTCATTATAATGAGCATCCATCACTTTTTTTTTTGTCAACAAAGCATCCATCACTCAACTTGTTCTAATAATATGTATTTGTAGTGTTATATGAAGTAGCTGCTTACTGGTCTTCACTACTGTCATCTCAATAACGTGCAGATATCAAAGGTTAACTTTTTTATTCTTTTCTAAACATATTATCTAGGATTTTAGGTGTGCATATGATACTATGTTCTGGTTTTTGGTTTGGCAGGCTCCAGTATGCTCATAGATATAAGGGAAACCTGAAGCTAGCAGATTTTGGACTACCATAATCATTCTCCAATAACCACAGTCCATGGATGATGATTTTCCCTTATAGCTGACCCATGTCTTTGATATTATAACTTAATTTTCAATCAAGAAAATTTACTCTTCTATGTATTGAGCAGACCTTCAGAGTTGCTTCTTGGAGCTACGAAATATGATTCGGCAGTAGACATGTGGTTAGTTGGCTGTATTTCTGCTGAACTTTTGCATGAAAAACAAATCTTACCTAGAAAAAATGAGGTTAGGCATATACCTTGAGTTGTTGAACTCTTTTTTCAGCCTTTTTTTTCATTATTTTTTAAGAAAAAATCTGTCTTATCTTAATTTTTGAATTATCTTATCTTATTTATCTATCAAGGAATTTTGAAAGAGTTAAGTAGATGGTGTTTCGTCTTTTTCTTACAATTGCTTTTCATGAAATGAACTTGGATGATTGTCATGATTATTTATTAGATTGGTTTAGTTTGTATGCACTAGAAGAAAGGATATGGAGCATTGTTGGCTTTTAGAGCATCCCAAGTTCATATACTTAATAATCTGCCCATGATGAAAGCTTTTTATTTCATTTAACTTTTTTTGCACATCAAAATCTTGCTAAATGATTACAGACTCTGAATGATTACACTTATTCTTCTTGAATGATTTTGAATGCTTTTGACTGAATAAATAGTGTGTACAGACTAGGAATTCATTGGTTATTTATGCTTATGCATTTTATGATTATGTTTCTGATTTTTTGCAGCAGAATGCTGAACTGAGTACTCATGTGGCTAAGCAGTAAAGAGGAAGGAATCTGCTGTCCTGTGTTAGGCATTCATGTCGTTTGATTATGAGTGCAGTTTCATTGGATGTTTTTTAGTTAATGTGTATTATGTAGTTATAGTTGTTAGAGCACTCAAGCACAGAAATTCTGTAATAGCTAGGTTGTTGCCATTTCAGTTTGTATATACCTTACTCTTTTTATATGTATTTATGGATCATGATGTTATGTACATTTTTTGTATTCCATGCAGTTAGTGACTTTCTCTGAACATATTTTGTTCTATTTGCCTAGATAGATGTTTCTGCTTGAATAATGGTAAGGGTACAATGTGAAAATGGTATATTAGGAGCTCGGGAAGATGTACTTTCCTAGCTCATGAAGTTGAAACCCACTCAATCGCTGATGAATAGCAGTCACACTATACAAGTGAACATTGATCATATAATTTCTGAAGCATTCTTGATGGGAGAAAAAGACTTTGGGGTTAAGAATCAAGAAATCATATAGAGAAAAAGTTGAAAGTAATGTAAAGCGAGATTATAGAGCTTTCCTAAAATTGATTCTTTATTTGGTTCATTATTTTTGAAATAAGTTCAATTCTTGGACCTCCTTTTTTTTGCACATTGCTTTTTCATTTTTTTTTGTGTTCGTCCTAGATTAGATTAATAGTTTAAATATACTTTCAACAGTAATTAATTTATTATCAGTTCCACAATTTAGATCTTAATTTTCTTTTTATGACGTTTGTATAACCTATAAAAGTGTTGGGTATATCATAATTGTTAACGTGTCTAAAAGAAATGCCTTCTTATATACAAAACAATTAATGTCATTTTTATATACAAAAACAAGTAATGTCATTTTTAATGTGAAGTGCCTTATTGAATTTCACTTTGTGTATTTCAAGCTTCTCTGGCCTCCAAAGACGGAAATTCGCTGAGAAGATTTTGAGTGCTCTGCCCAGTTTCTTTTTTTTTTTTTTGAAGTTAGGGATATTTGAAGTTTAACGACCGTTATACAACTTTCAAAACAAACAAATTCATTCTAATTTTTTGTTTATAATTTTATAAACCAAATCGCGGTCACTTTCATAAAAGTCATATTTTTCTATAAAAGACCAACTCTTTATGACTTTCCTCCATTATAAGAACAGAGTACCCATTTTTTCATAAACAAATTTATTTATTGGATAAAATAAAAATAAATTCATTTTTCAATAAAAACACCAGTTCTTTATGACTTTCCTCCATTATAAGAACAGAGTACCCATTTTTTCATAAAATACCAGCTCTATATGACTTTAGAATGAAGGGTTACAATCTCGCTGTCTCTATTACCATCAACTTTTGACTCCCTACTTCTTCCATCCCACCCAACACCAGAATGAACAAGATTTCACAAAAGATCTAATCTTGCATGAAATGATCAACTATAAAGCTTTATTAATATGCCAACCTTTTTTTTAAAATTAAGAAACAAAATGTATCAATAAGAGACAAACAAATACAAAATATCATTTTGTTATTTTAATTAAGATACATATTTAATATACGTAGACAGAGCAAAACTATAATGAAACGAACAAATTTATCTCTCATTTGTATATAATTATTTAGAACTTGGCATAAACAAGTGATTGCAACTCAATAATTTAGGAAAAATTATTGAATTTCACTTTGTGTATTTCAAGCTTCTCTGGCCTCCAAAGACGAAAATTCGTTGACAAAAAAAGACTTGTAGAATACCTATACTAAAAAATAGACTTTTCTACATAAATTATTATTTTGATTAGTTCAAAACTGGGCATGGCATTTTATATTTCTATCGCGCAAAGCGCGTTCATGCCTCCTAGTTTCAATAGATGAATGGTGGACATGTTATGGTAGTACTGCACCTAATTTGTAAAAACTAGCTATATATGTTCTCAGCCAAACTTGCAGTGCTTCTGCTTGTGAAAGGAATTAAAGTTTGTTTGAGCATATCCACTCCAAGAAGAGAAATAGATTGGAGTATCAAAAACTAAATAATTTGATTTATGCACACACTACAATTTAAGATTGCAGCAAGGGTAAACTAATTTTTGCAATAGATTGGAGTATCAAAAACTAAATGATTTGATTTATGCACACTACAATTTAAGATTGCAGCAAGGGTAAACTAATTTTTGCAATCTAATTTTTGTTTTAGTAGGATGGTATTTGTTATTTAACTAGTTTTAATGTTTTGTATTATTAGAAATGCAAGGCATCGAAATTATGATCCTATTGATTTTGAGGACTTCAGCACCAATGAAACTTGGATTTGGACTACAAATTTTCACGGTTGACATCAATTGAATTAGAAAGTTTTAGGAATGAAATAGCTGCATTTGCTATCGACCGACAAAGTGGTGAGCTATTCTATTTGAGCTATATGCTTGCTTAATCTTTTCATTTCGTTTTTTGCTAAATACAATCTAAATTGAGTGCATGGTTCATTAGTTTTTGTTACTTATATAAATGAAACTCCAAATTTGGATGAATTGGACATTAGAGATGAAGATAATGTTGGAAGAAATCATCTTAATGCAAGCTATGGTGCGTCCAATTTTGGTGATGCCAATGAACTTGGCGGTACTAAATTTGGTAGAAGTTGGGAACCATTGGCATAAGTAATAGATGAAGTGAACAATTGAAGCGATAAATTGTGGTGTTATTTATGTTTATCATTTTATGAATTTATGTTCGGTTGTACTAAATTGACTGTTCGTGACTTAGGTTTGGTGGTTTGATACTTAGATTTATCATTTGTGTTTGTGTGTAATATCAATATAAATTCATGAACTAAATACCATGTATGATTATGGCTTGTGTGTATAATGTATAAATAGGTTATGGTTTATTAAGATTTAAGAATTTCCGTACTTATTATAATTTATATATTTATTTAATTATATTATATATATTTTGTATTTTATAGTGTGATTCGGCAGTTGAAACAGTGAATTACACTTGAACAGCCAACTCACCAATCCGGTCCTCTGCCAGGTTGATGTCCGGTTGGTTTTAAAAACTACAGTTTGGCGTCCAATAGTTCAGTTGGTTTGCAAATTGCAACTGGTATGTTTGTTAAAGGGTTTTCTGCATTTTCCCCAATCTCATCTCAAAGTAACCGGTTCAGACCGATTGAGAAATTCTTCCTATATTTTTGTGCAACTGAAGCCCACACCACTAGTCTTAAAAGACCTGCTGGTGGCAAAATTCAATAGCAGAGGAGAAAATGCTGCTGGAACTTCCGCGGTTAACGAATTCTCTCCGCGATCCTTTTGATGTTGATCAAGCGTATCTTCATCGCAAAACCATCCTCCAAAACCTCAAACCTCCCAGGTTCTCCTATCCAACTTTCCAATTTTAGGATTCTTTTGGTAATTTTTAACTCGATTTTTTGGTAATGCAATATGCACTTTTTGTTTTTTTTGTTTTTAGTTCTGCCAATTCAGTTCAAGAATCGCAACTCGCTCGGAAGATTGTATATAGATGGGATGATGGTATTGTAGAAATTTTTATATTGTTGTATAGAGTTCAGTTAATTTGTTTTACAGGTTTCATTTTTTGATTTTTTAAAATAATTTTAACAGCGTCTAATGAAGTGCGGCAAGTGTACAAACAATTTATTGGAGCGGTGGTGGAGTTGATGGGCGGCGAAGTGGTGTCAGAGGAGTTTCAGGAGGTGGCTCTGAGTGTATATAAGCTTTTTTGTACCCAATTGGAGGATGTGGAAGATGATCAAGTGGATAAGATTATTGCTGAGAAGAAGTAAGGAAGAGAAGTTTTATTGATTACAAACAATTTTTTTTTGTGATAGCATTTGCCCCCTTGAATCTTGATCATTGAATTTGTTGGCAGTTCTTTCACAAATTTTCTTAAGAGGTTCACTAGTCATGTTACATAATTTAATTGAGAGTGTTATGGAGTTGCAACATTAGAGGCAGGCGCAAAGTTGCTTAACTATTCTATTGTGGACCTTCTGTCTAGTCTCTGTACCTGGTCGTCATCTAATGTTTGTTAAAGGAAGACTTTGAACCTCTCTCGGCTATTTACGTAGTTCCAGTGTTATTGGTATATTTGCTAGAGTTTAATTAAACCTATTAATCATGATTTGGAAAATAATTTTTGAACTAATGTTATAGAAGCTTATTCAATTTTTTTAGCGGCAAACCCCCTTTATGGGGGAGGGATACCAGCCCCAAATTTTATTCACATTAACTGATATTACAAAAGTTTGATGGGACTTCAAAAAATGTAAGACAACAAAAAAATTAAATAAGTGAACTACTCCGTGACAATCTTATTGCGCACAAAAAGAAAAGAAATACAGTCCATATGTAATAAAGATCTAACCCTAGGTGGAAGTTGCTAAATTGCAGCAAATATCCTGTCACAGGTGCGTTTGCCACCGAATTTGCTTCCCGAAATACATGACTAAGTGACGCCGACAAAGAGAACAAGTGTCGATGAATTTGATGAATGTAATTACATAACAACCACTTATCCACATTAGGTGAATTAACTAAAGTTACCCAAGTTTTCGAATTGACTTCAACTAAAAGATTATCAACCCTTCTTTGAATGCATAATTGGACACCATAAAACAAAGACAGCCTTTCCACCTCCAAGACATTAAATTCTCCAAATTCTTTGTAAAAAGTAAAAATCAATTTACGTTTCTGGCTCATTAAGACCCCGCCTCTAGAAGCCTTTCTATTGATCACGCTAACATATATATTAATCTTAACGCAATTGAGAGGAGGCTTTACCCAGCAAATTATTGAAAAGCAAACTCTCTTCTACCTACAAGGAGCGTAGCCAATGAACTTACAATCCATTTCTCCACAAAAAAATTCTCTCTGAAATTTTCTGGCAAGTCCCAACTATTGCAAATACATATCAATCTACACAATAATCTGCCAAAAAGAAACTTTCTTATTCAGAAAATAAGCATTTTTTCTTTATCTGTTTTGTATTCCTTTCCCTATGAACATTAAAGGGCTGAATAAATTTGGCATGTGGCTATTCTATATGAATGGGAACTATGATTGGTTGCACTTTGCAGGAAGACATGTTAGGCTATCCTACAATACATTTTCTTCTTTGAATAATATCTGCAATTGCTGATCGGATAAATATATGCTTAGAAGGACAGAGGGCATGCATACTTAGTTGATATTGGTGTAAACATGTTTTTGCTTGG